GTGTATCAATGGGTCCTCCAGATCAGGAAAGCCACACAACTTTTATAAAGTAGATTGGTTATTTTTAAGCTTCATTGAGATATAAATGATATACGAAGAGAAGTAGACTGTTAACTGATTAAATTGTAAATCCCTTGAAGTCAGGAATTATATTTTTAATCATCGTTGAATATCTGGCACCTACCAGAGTGCTTAGGCTTAGGAAATATTGGCTCTAGAAGTGAATCAGTAGAAGATGGAATAACTCTGCAGGTCAGACCATACCCCAGGTGTCCCTCACACAAAAGTGCTTAAGATTGTTCACAGGGCATCTGGAGATCCCTCTGAGAAGGTCTCCTCTCTTTTTTGTTGTTGTTGAGGGCTTACATCTCACATTACACACCTCCCTGCCTGAAAAGAGACAGTCTTTCGCCAAGAAGCTAAAAGAGGTTGTGCAGTTGCTGTGTAGCCAAAAATGGCTGCTTTTTTTCTTGCATGCCAAAGTGAGTTTTTTCATGTAGCTGATGGACATTAATAAATTAGTCAATTTACTAGTCTATGCAGAGTTTCATGTTGAATATTATGTAAGGTATAAAAAAGCAAAGTATTCTTCTCATGAAAGAGGCAGTGTAGTTTAGTGAAAAGAACAGAGGCCTTCAATGGATATGGTTTGAAATCTTGGCTAAACTACTTACAGTTGTGTAACTTTAGACATGTTCTTTGAGGAAGTTTTTAAGCCTCAGATTCCTCATCAGTAAATTGATGATAATAATATTCATATAAGGTTGCTCTAAGGATTACATGAGATAGTACATGTACTTTGAATTCTCATTGTAGAGCTAGACTTTGAGTTTCCTCAAAGACCCTGTGATTTTCATCTCTGTATTCATCCCCTACCCAAAAGTTTCTGGTATATTGTAGATATTCAAAAAGTCTTTGTGAAATTAATTAACAAATTAAGTACATTTACACAGAAACAAATTCCTCTTAGCTAGTTTTCCAAGGACAAAAAGAAAACAAATTAACAGTGTTTTCATTTTAATGGGACTTACCAGCCAGACATAATTAAATAAACCCTCATTCTAAAATAAATTCGCAAGCCTAAATTAATTGCCTCTAACATATATGTGAAGTCTTCAGCATTCCATGAGAAACTATAGCTTTTTACATGACTTTGAAGTTATTTAAAGGTAAAAGAAAAAACTGTCTCTGAGCCAACGATATAAACTTGAAAAACAACTACAAGTGTCTTGAAAGCTTATCACATACTGTGAGGAGGGTAAAAACAGGAGTCTCACAGTTCAATTTCACAGAAAGAAGTGAGAGGGCTTGAAGCAGTTTAGCGTGCTCTGGTCTGGTTAAAACACCAAGAAAGCTAGTTCAGTTGCTTCTAATAAACCATTTCAATGAATGTAATATTTCAATGCCACAAATTTCTCTGCACAGTAATTTTCATTGTTTAATGGTGCCAAGAAGAAATCAATATTGTTTAGAGGGGGCTAGAAGGCTACCTCTTTTACCCCCTGAAGAAGATGAACAATACCAGAATTTGTTAAGCTGTTTTTTAGCCAGGTAGATCTGTGAAAGGAAGGGCAGGGTGGGCTCAAATAAAGGTGTATTATGGGATATGTTCAATCAAATTAGAGGAAAGGTCATCATCTTAATAAGTCAATTTATATGTGTCCAATGTATTTATATGAACAAATTAGCTTTTGATTGTTAGGTAAACTATCCTTGAGCTTTTTTTCCTCTTTCTTCCTTGTCTGCTCTTCTAAGAAGTTATGGAGATTCTCTACAATCATATTCCTTCTAGTAGGAACAAAAACCCCAATGTGTTGAAAAATAATCCTTGAAAACAGGAGTCATGACTTATTAATCACTGGACCACTGAGCACAGCGTCTTGCAAGTACTAGTTTCTTAATAAATACCTGTTGAACAGATGAATGATGGCCTAGTTCCTTTTATGATACCATCATTCAGCCAGTGACTTAGGCTCAAAATATAGTAACTGTTGATTCCTCCATCTCTTTCAAGCCTCCAAATCAGTTAGACATAAAATCTAGTTGTTTCTTCCTTTGTAACATCTCTCAAATTCCTTTCTTCCTATTGTAACTGCCAATCTGATCTGCCACAGTCTGCAGGGACACAGTGAAATGGACTTCTTGTTCCTCTTTGGCTCTTCAGCACACTCCTTACCAAATCTTGTTTACTCACACCCAATAGGTTATAGGCATTCAGGAATTCTTTCTTCTTAGAACACTGGTCACAATTTTCCTGTGTTGCTGGTATGAGATTTCTTTATGCTAGGCTGTGAGCCTTTTTTTCTCTAGAATTGTCATTCCCACTTCCTCTTGCTTAAACTAAATTTCTGAGTACTGAGTCTGAGTCTGTGTCTAGTTGAACTTCTCTCTAAATTGTTTGATTCTTGAAATAATGACTCCAAGTCTGTTTTCTCACTTCCAGATTGTTATAATGCTTCTCTATCTATCTATCTATCTATTATCTACTCATCTTTCTATTTATGTTGCCTACTCATTTCCTCAAAAAGAAATTTGAAGGTAGTTTACAATAAAAGCAATCCTAAAACATGACAGTTAAAATAAATATTAAATTAGCAAAAAAAAAACATTAAGAGTTTGCCTGCAATTTCAAGAGTTCTATGGGTCTGTTGAGATTCATTCATAGAATCAAGATTAAGATCTTCTGATTTAGAGGAAGGACAAGAAAGGAATGTGGTAGGGATGTAGAACAAGGAATTTGGAATACTAAATTCAGCTCTGAATGTCCTAGAATCTAGGGTCGGGAGAAAGAGAAGGTAAACTTGATTAGCTTCTTGGTTTCATTGTCAGGCAGCACTACCATATAATCGTCACACTCTTTAAAGCAGCTGATCTCCTCACTACCTCCTTTTGATAGGATAACAATTCCCTCTATTCTTTTTTAAGAAGCTAACTTGCTTCCTGTTACTGAGTCTTTCTTTCTCAACTCCAATTTTCAATTGTTCATGGCCTATTCATGACACTTCCTAACTCCAAATCCTTATCAACTCGTGCTTTGATTATCACAATATTCCTGACTGATTTCCTTGCCTTCGGACTCACTCCTTCCCCAATCAACTTGTACACTATTTTCAGAAGATTTTTAGAAATAATGTATTTGATCAGGGCTAACTCTGGTCCATCTGACTGCTTTATAAAATTAGAAAAAGAATGTCTCTTTCAGTCTAACATAGCCCTCTGGGTAAAAACCTTGCCTTTTGTGAATTAGCAAGTGACACATCTTTCTGCAAGTGAAGCAGTCCTGTGCTTAAGAGCACTATTTGGCTTAAATTTAAGCTCTTATGCACATCTTGGATAGTCACACTTTTTCATTGCACAACCATACGCAGCAGCCCTGGCTTTGTTTACATTTCTCCTCTATGCCAAATTTTTATTGAGGCCTCATGGCTTATAATAATATCATGATCATTTTCTTTTTCTTCCATATAAATAGGCCCATAATAATCTAGAAAAGAAAAGATCCAAAAGCAAAAGAAGGCCCCAGAGAGCTACTTGAAATCTTACACCCTCAAATCATAACCATATCAATAGTAAAGCTAATATTTTGAGGAGGAATTAATGTGACCTACTTCAACCATCTCACCCACGTTTGGTTTCAAAGCTTTGCTCTTTCCTCATTTAATGATGTTCTCAGACAAAAGTTTGTTGAATGGCTGTTAGTGAAACCTTCTAATGAGACCAGTCAAGGTCAAGGTCATGAAATCCTGAAAGCTTGTTTTTGAAATATTTACCGCTTCTTTCTGAGGAACTTTCTCTATTTTTAGGCAATTTATTTCCCTACCACTCATACCCACGCTTACCCAAACAACTCATTTGCAATATGGTGTTAAGGATTTAATGTGTTAAAATTATTGTTTCAAAGACAAGTGTATGGAGACGGCAATGCTTAACACAAAATAATAACTCAAAGAAGAATTTTAGTCATCTTTATGGGAGACATTGTTAAGCACAGTGTTTCTGGTGACCTCAAATTATTCCATTTTGGTGACCCAGTAAGGTTTTCCCTGATTCCCAAGGAGGTTCCTATTATTATCACCCTTTAACATTTGAAACAGAAAATATGACAGAGCATAACAATGTGGTCTAATCACTTCAATATGGCTTGGAAACTTTTATCTCATATTGCTAGCCTAAAAATCATATTTGACTCACATACACACATGCGTACACACAAGGAAAAAAAAGGAAGAAACATGATGATAGAGTAAGATGGGTGTGTGCATAGCAGAAAGCTCAGTGCATTTTTGACACATTCTCTTTCCAAGTACCATAGCAAAGACATGTGATCTTTCATATCCTTAGATAGAAACAGCAGCCATTGCATCCATGGGATCTAATGATGTCTGGAAGTATAGTATCTTCAGTAAGCTAGAAAGCTATGGAATAGCTTCTAGATAGCCTTAAGAGTAGTTCAAATAAATTCCCCCAAGAAGTAGATGCCTTGCAAGACTATGAAGCAGGAAGAAGTCATGGTAAGGAACAAAACATACAGATAGACAATGAGGAAAAAGTAGTGTTTAATGTTCTCTGTTAAAAAAAAAAAGATAAGCATTTTAAAGACATTACAACTTATTTTTTACTTTATTTTTAAACAGCAAGTAAAATTCTAACAGGTAAGTTGGGCTTTTGCACTTTAAACTTTCAGAATAGACTGAGGAAACTATGGTAATACGTGGCAAATTAAAGTCAGATACTGTTTCTGATTGAAGTGTACAAAATCATGGAAAGTCTGAATTTATCAAAGACAAAATTTCAATTTTCTTTGCCCACAATATCCTCTGAGGGGAATGCTTTCCTAAACAACTGAGTGATGCTGACGAACAGTTTTACGTAGCATTAGAGGGAAATGATTTTGTTTTTTTTCCTGTTTTACTCAATAAACTACGTTACTTCCTCTTGTAGCTGTACAAGCTTGCAGTTCTCTACAGGATATCTGTGTAGAAAGGGTAAGGTTCTTGGCTTTCTTTTCATACGTTAAAAAATAGAACTTAAAAATCTCTGAATTGAATATGACCATGTGAATTGCTGCCGCTTCCATCAAAAATGTAATCCTGAATCTGCTAATATTTTACCTTTTGAGGGATGTATTATTATGAAGAATGGAGACTCTAGTGAGGTAATATCTATTTATAAGTTTAAGTGGTTAAAATGTTCACTGAAACTGCTGCATGCTTTGTGTGAGGAAGTGTGGCTGTCTAGATAGAAAGCTCCTTTCTCTACAATTCAATATGCCATTGACATAAACCAGGAGTCCAGACTTAAATGAAACACTGCTCCTAACAAGTCTGTGTTAAAATTAAGTTAGTGGTTGATTAAACGCATTTGTATTAGTATGAGCAGTGGGGGAAAAAAAAACTTAAAATTTTAAATCCAGAGATTTGTCAACCAAATTAAGTGGCATTCAAATGGTAAATAAATACAATAAAATGCTTAAATCTTTTCATAAGATGGGACTTGACATGTTTCCTTTGACTGGGACACTTCACATGCATGCATTCTGGGGTGGGACGTGAGAGTCTCAAATGGCACAAAAAGATTTTCATCGAGCCCTAGAAACTAGCACAGCTGTCAAATCTCAGAGGGGCTGATTCTCAATTTGTGATGAATGTTTCCTTGGATGTATTTTTAATTTGAGAACATGGGAAATATTTTAGGAAGGTGCTCCAAGTGTTGTGCTGTCTTTGTTAGAAGGAATTCCTTCCATTTTCCTTACTTGAAATAATAAAATAGCTCTTGCCCTTTTTAAAAGTCTGCTAATATTCACACTTGGAGTTTGATTCTTAAGTATGTAAGATTATTCAGAATATATAAAAATTGTATACATTCTAGAGAAGTTAGTGCAAGCTATCTATGATATCAGTGAGATCTAGTCATCCTGATACTTTCTCATGATATGAGCAAATCAGTGTAATTTGTATATACTGACTTCCCCTAGAATAAAGAGTTGGAAATACTAAATTCCCTTTTAGTAAAAGACGATTCAATGAAGATTTTTACAGAGAAATATCAGGATAAAGACTTTATTGTATTAATAGCTTTATGCTCCAGGAACAAAATGTAACTAACAGCTGTAGACTACATGAGTATGACTCACAGGATGGCATTATCTGCATATTATGATTGCCAATTGGCAGCATAACGTTGATTATTGAAAGCAGCTCTGCTCAATCTCCCTGACCACAAGTATAGGTGGGACTCCTCCATTGAAGTCATTCCAAAGTGGCTGAGAATGGGACAGTGAATGAAACCCAGGCAGGCTAGGCAGCTGCAGGGTTTTGGGAACCTCCAAAGTTGCTGAGGTCAGCAGTGCCCCTTGGACTGATTTTCCCCAGACATTGTGTTTTGGTGGGACTATGAAGAAAGGACCTCCTCAGCAGACTTGAAAGCTCTAGATAAAGTGTTTTCTTCCCAATCTGCTCCCCTTTTCCCACCCACCAAGCAAGTAACTGAGAAGGAGCCTGGGTGGGAGGAAAGGAATCATCTCTGTAGCACTAATAGCCAAGTTTAGCCTAAAGCTGGTGCTTAGTAGGGACTATGCATTCACTAAATTGTAGAGCCCTAGGGAGAGGGGGAGTTTGCTGTTGGCTGACCCTTGCTGAGGTCTTGCTTTCTGCAGCTGTGAATGTGGGTGTCCTAGGAGATTGAGAAATTATTCACTAGAGGTCGAGGCAGTTTTCCACTTGGTCCAAATAACTGCTCAAGATTGGAAAAGAATACTTGACCATAATTTCTGGGAGTATTAAATGATAACACACCACTAGAATTAGACTTACAAATTGGCAACAGCTTAAGCATGTTATTTTGAGACTCATGTTTCTCCAAGCCCTACCTGTGTATCTGCCGCCAACCAAAATGCTGCTATTAGTAAACTACTACCAGAGGTTACTTACTGCGTCTCTAAATTCCTACTTCTTGAAATGTAACTGTTCCTGGGAGTGGTAAAAGGCTACGCAAATGACAATTCAGTAAGTGAGTTTATGAGCTAGATTTATTAGCTAGTTGCTAGCTTTTCTCAAACTAGGAAGATTGACACTTCAGAAGGTACTAGGTGATTGAACAAAGGGCAATGAGTGTGTAGTGGAGGAAAAACTATTCCTCTACCCTCTAGGTCCCTCTGGCTGGTCTAAGAATTAAATTGACATGAGGCAGAATAACAGGAGAAAATCAAAGTTTAATAACATGTGTACATGGGAGAAACCCAGAAAAACTGTGTAACTTGCCAAAATGATGGAAGCCACCACCTTAAATACCATTTTCAGCTAAAGACAAAGGAGGATGTTGGGGGTAGTGGATTGGGACTTCAAAGAGGAGGAAGGTAATTTACATGGAGATGGAAAAGCAAATGTTTGGTAAACAAATGTTTACTGGGTCATCTATAGACAATATGACTCAAGAAAGAGAACTTTGATAAAAATGGGCTTAGCAAGGATCCTCCCAGTCTACCATACTCAGAGTTATCTATGGTGACGGACTGTCCTGGAACAGGCCTTCTATCTTAAATTCTTTTAGCCAGTCATGGGAAAGGTCAAAGTTTTTTTCAGTCTTTTGTTCTTAAAAATAATCAAGCGGAAGAGACACATTTTGGGATGGCAAATTCTGATCTCACACAGGAGTGAAAAGAGAGACAATGAAGGGTAATGGAAAGGGAACTATAATGACTTCACACATCCTGCCTGCTTACTAATTAACCAGAAGTGCATAATGCATATGTTCCATATCTAGCCAACAACCTATGAACATAACTATGAACAGCCCAGAAAGTGAGCAGTGCCATTCATGGGGTTAACTTCTCTTTTCTGGCTTTAGACTAGATCAAGGCTGCTGCATCTCTGTGGGCAAGTCAGAGATTACAGAGCTGGTTGAGACTTACAATCAAATTTCCTGAATGTCTCATCCTGAGAGCTGGCTCTGATGGGAGATTCAGTTCAATGGCTGCAGAATGAGCACATGTTTTTTCCGGAGAGGCTTCTGAAGGATTTGTAATTGTACTTGCCAAAGCCAAAGACTTATTTGAATGTTGAACAAAACCAAGCAGAAACCTATTTCTTAATTGTGAATCAACATTCATGATAGTGAATAGCATGGGAAGTCAAGATTTGGTAGATCAGAAGATGATTTCCTCCAAAATGTATTACATATGGAAAACCTGAGATAAGACGTTTTTAGTTGTTTTTCTCACAGAGCCAGCCAATTGTGCTTCAATGCATCTCAGGAGGAAGTCTTTTGTCTTTTACTTTTTATTTTGAACTATTTTTAGACTCACAAGAAATTACAAAAATAATATAGAGCATTCCTGTGCACACTTACCCCAGCTTTCCTCAATGATAATATCTTACAAAACTATAGTACATTATCAAAAGCAGGAAACTGACATTGGTATGATACTATTAACTAGACCACATACTTTATTTAGATTCTGCCAGTTTTTACATGCACTCATTCGTGTGTATATGTGTGTTTTTATAATTCTATAAAATTTTATTATACATGTATATTTGTGTAACCACAACCACAACAAAGATTCAGAACTGTTCCATTACCCACCACACACACAAAATATTTTTGTGCTACACCTTTACTTCACAAATTCCTCCCAACCTGAACACTCTGACAATTACTGATATGTTCTCTATTCTATAATTCTGTCATTTTGAGGATGCTATATAAATGTAACCTTTTCAGACTGGTTTTTTTTCACTTAGCGTAATGTCCTTGAGACCTCTGCAAACTGTTATGTGTATCAATAGTTAGTTCATTTTTATTGCTGAGTACTATAGGCCATTGTATGGATATACCACAGCTTGTTTATCTTTTCACCCATTAAAGGACATTTGGGTGGTTTCCATCTTTTGAATATTACAAATAAAGCTGCTATGAAAATTCATGTACAAGTTTTTGTGTGGGCATGTTTTGATTTCTCTTCCGTATTTACCCAGACATTGGAGCGGAATTTCCAGGTTATATAGTGAGTGCATGTTTAGTTTTCTAAAAACATTGCCAAACTGTTTTCCAGAGTAGCTGTACCATCTACCATTACTAACAACAATGCATGAGAGATACAGTTCTTAATCTTAGCACTTGCTGTCGTCAGTATTTTTATTTTAGATATTCTGATAGGTATATCACGGTATCTCATTGTGGTTTTAAATCGCATTTCCCTGATGGCTAGTGAAGTTGAACATCTTTTCATGTGCTCTTCAGTGAATTGTCTGTTGATGTCCTTTGCCCATTTTCTAATTGAATTGTTTGTTTTCTTACTTTTGAGTTTTGAGTATTCTTTACATATTTTAGGTGCAAGTCCTTTTTGGACATGTAGTTTGCAAACATTTTCTCGAAGTCCATGGTTTGTCTTTTCATCCTCTTAACATAGTCTTTCATAAACCAAAGTTTTGCATTTTGATGAAGTTCAATGTATTGATTTTGTTTCTTTTTTGCATCATTCTTTTGATGGCATGTCTATGAACACTTTACCAAGCCCTATATCCTGAAGATTTTCTCCTACGTTTCATCTAAAAGTTTTATAATTAGACATATGATCCATTTTGAGTTAGTGTTTTTATAGGATGTGAGTTATAGGTCAATATTAGGTTTTGTTGTTTGTTTTAGAGATGGATGTATAATTGTCCAAACATCATTTTTTGGAAGGCTATTCTTTCTTTATTGAACCTTTGTAAAAATATGAGTTGGCTCTACTTGGGTAGATCTTTCTTAATTGTCTATTCTGTTTCATTACTCTATGTATCTCATGCTCCACCAATACCACACTGCCTTGATTACTTTAGGCCTATAGTAAGTCTTACAATCGGGTACCGTGATTTCTCCAACTTTATCCTTGTTTTTAATAATTTTTTTTAGTTATTTTAGTTCCTTTATCTTTCCACATCAACTTTAGAATAAGCTTGTCTATATCTGCAAAAAATACATGCTGGGGTTTTGATAGTCATGCTGTTAAAATTACTTACCCATTTTGGGAGAATTTTCATATTTATGATGTTGAACTGTCCAATCAATGAACAGTTTGTGTCTATTCATTTATTTAGGTTTCTTATTTCTTTCATCAACATCTTGTAGTTTCTAGCATACAGTTCTTGTAACGTGGTCTGTTACTTTTATACC